CCTGGCACATAAAGCTTTTATTACATGTGGCTAATACAGGTGCTGGTGGTGGTAAAAACTGCAGTAACAATATTGATGAAAAGTGAGATGTGAAAGAGAAATCAAGGATGGTTCCTAGGTTTTTGGCTTGCAGGGAATGAAAAATAATTTTCCCTCTAAGTTGAGATAGTTCCTGTGAGGAAAGACAGTTTAATAATGTGCATACTTCTTGTATTCATGGGAGAGACAAAGGAAAACTGAGTAATCGCGCCAAAAGGTCTGAGTTACCTCCTTAAATGCCGGCTTCCTCTGAAGACAAAGGATGTTGGGGGGGGGGAGGGGAAACCAGTTAAGGGTGCAAATCAGGAAAGATATAGTAAACAAGGCTATAGTTGTTATGCTGATTTAAGTTGCTGCCTTCTCCACAGGTAGCAGGTGAAGAGAATGGACATCCCGGCTTCCCAGAATGCAGCTGAGGGATACACCCTTACAAATGGAGATTTCCCTTATAATGTAAATGTATCCTACAAATGGGAAATTTCTACTTATTTTTCAGAGTTTTTTTTATAAGTCCGTTGTTTCTTGAAAATAACCAGTTCAGAATAATTATTATGCTAACAAGACATATTTTGGGTGGCAAGTGTTGTTGCCTCGATGACTTGAATAACTCAAAGAGCGAGGTTATTTACTGAAGTTGGGGACAACGGAGAAAAAGTTGTAGAGAGAGCAATAGCATTCCGGTTTGTTTTTTTTGACCAAAGGTGCCAAGATTCTTTAAACATATTAAAACCACTTTTCAATTCTTTATAAACAATATTGTATTTCTATTCCTTCCTTTCTAAATACCTCAAACTTTATTTTTGCTCTAAGCAACTGCTTCCCAGAACACGAATAATTGCTGAAGAAGTTAAAGTAACTGCAGAAACTAAACCACTTGGCAGTAAATGACCACATAACCCTGGCTGCATCACTATTCTCAGTGCAATGATGGTGTGAGGTCAATTCCCTAAAAAGGGTCAGATGGGCATTTCTCAATAGGCTGAGAGTAATCTTTTTGTCACCTGGGTATGGGAATTAGAGGTCAATAAAAAACAATCAAGTTTATTACCATTACTTAAAGCATGCAGACGGTTTTGAGTTGAGAGCTACGAGGACACCGAAGACAAGGAGAAATTAAGTTGTTGCCCAAAACCTCTGTTCCCTAATTGATGAAGAGATCAATTATGTCTTAAGCTTCTGCCTGTTTCCTAAAAGGACTCACTGCCTACCCTCCTATAACCTGGACAATAATGCAGTTTGGGGAATTTATGCATATCTTGGAGTTTATCCAGATCTTGGTTTATCGGTAAACGTGTAAGAATATCATCTCAGAGTAAGTATAAAGTCACCACTTAGTTGTCTGTCATTTGACATCTCCCCCTTCTCTGTGCTTGATGCCACAGGTCTTAAAATGCAGGATAAATATTCCTGGTCTCCTCCACGAGTCTTTAGAATTTATGGCCATGTGACTTCTCCACATGTATATTACTAAGTTGATTGCTTTTGTTTTGCTAACCCATCTGGTACTTTTTTGATTGCTTCTCTAGCCCTAGAAGAATCTTGTACCCAAACAATGGTAAACGTTACAAAGAACAACAGCGGAACAAAATCCAGATACTTCTCATTTTTAGTAGCGGGAAATATTAGCAAATACAGGAGAACTTATGTAAGCAACACTAAATAAGCACTAGGGATTATGAAAAATAGCAAAGTTATTTCTATTAATTTTAAATGGCTCACTGATAATGAAAGTGCTCAGGTTTGAAGAAATTAAATTTTTGTTCCCATTTTCAGACTCTCACAGGTTTAACCACTGAAGGAAGCGTGGTGTGTTAGGCAGGTCTGACTTTTAAGCTTTTACTTAATTACTACTTCAGAGACTGATTAAACAATCATATACAAAAAACTGGTTTCTCAATTTTCTTTATATCCTATAATGACTATTCATTTTATCCTAGGCATATTTGGTCTTTACATTCAGGCATTTCCTGGGATTCCCAAATCCAAATGAAATACTTCAAACAAGGTACTAATTTGAATCCAAATGGGGGCAGTTCAAGGCGATTGGTTGAATTGGTTAGAATGGCTTAGTTCATTAATAACCAAATTGTAGCCCAGACTCTGGGTTCAGTCTCTATATGCTGCTTTGGTCTCACTTCAACCTTAAAACAAAGATTATCCACAGATGGTGTGAAGGTCTACCCCCAGTTCTGTTATATTTCATTCTACTAAGCTGTTCTGGGTAAGAAAACTTGAATTTTGTATTTTTTCCCCTTGATATAGATGGATTGCCTATCAATCATCCACAGATAATTTTACAACCAATTTTGTACCAATATTTTATTGGATTATATGAAGTGGTTCCCTTTACAACTCTGTTGCATAAAACTAGCCATGGTGGAAAACGCTTTGACCTTAGCCAAGCAAGCTAATAACTGAGGTAAGGAAGTACAGTATATATATGTTATCTACAACTTCCTTGTACTACAGAAATAGAAAAATGAGGTTTTTTTGGAGGAGGAGGTAGTTGCTACATTAACATAACCATTGAATTTCTTCAATACTGTCTAACTTCTATTTCTTCTCACTGTAGTTGGTGTCATGCAAGAATCTATTCATGCTGCTTGAAACTGAGGGATACTGGAAGAATAATGATTGGAGAAGTTTAAGTGAAATTCAGCATCACTGCCCTGACCAAGAGAGCATTGCTCAGCATAAACTACACGTACAGGTAAGGCTGATTACTTGATTCACTTTTATTTTTGAAACTTAATTCTAAAACCCCTAACAGGGCTTAAAATGTTTAAATTAGATGGACTGATCATGAAGTTACCAGCTTGTCAGTTGAGTTAATGATTGCTAGTGAGTAGTTAAGAGTTGTAGAACTTAGAGCTACAATGTTTGTAGGACTTGTGAACAGTATTCTGTTAAGGGGGTACAGACTTGTAGATATTTTCTTGAGAACAATTCAACACATGTAACATGATGCTTTTATTTGATTTCTTAGGCTTCATAGTGTTTTTAGAAGAGGTACATAGTAGATACATGTTTGATGTTTGGGAAGCTAAAGATGGTGCTAGTTGTACTTTTGATAGTGGAATTCCTATAGCGGCCCAAAAACATCTGCTTGAGAAAGACAGTCTCTGTGAAAATCTTTTTATCTCCCTTCTCTTCTGAAGCATTTGCTAGTATGAAACAGAAGAATAAGGCAATAGTATGAAAACTAGGAGATTCCATATATGTATGAGATGGCCCAATTAAAACAAACAAAAGGAAGACTACCTATTAATATAGAAACATCATTACCTTTAGAAGGTTGTAGCATGTTGTGCTTTATTTACAAAGAGCAGGGGTTAATGCTTTCTTTAACATTATACAAGAAAGTGCTATTCCTGATGTAAGATAAAAATCTACATGAAGTAGATAAATTTCTTAAAATATTGACTTGTTTTATTTTCTATCTGACTGCTTTTTAAATAGATCAACTCACAGGTTAGGTTTTAATACTTATATCTGGATATAAACGTAACTGCAAACATATTTCAATTTGCCAAGGTGCACTGAATATACATACAAACTAACTCTGAATCACACGGGTTATTTTCTAAATGAAGATTGCAAATAAGCACATAAAATGATAGCACACTGGTAGACATACAGGTTTTCAGTATTAGAACGAAGAGACTGTACAGACTTCAAGCTTTCAAATGTTGGGGGGATTGCTTGACTTAACATTTTCAAAATTATGCCGCATTGGGGGAAAAATCCCTATTTTTATACTAAAAGGTGAAAAAATATAAACATGATTCTGAAGAGGTAGAGAATAAAGTTTTCCTGAGGGGCTAGGGACATAAAAATCTCAGAAGGTATGTAAGGCAAAACTTTTGTTTACCAAGGAGAGAATGAGAATGTGATTAAAAAATGATTGCGATCCCAGCTCCAGATTATAAAGAAGCTGGGAATGTAGTCCCTAGACAAATAGGGTGAAAACCACATTTTGAACAGAGCTTGTGATTTTTATTTGATCAAAATCTAATAACTTATTTGTTATTCCCACCTGAAGATATAAGTAAATGAGAAAAATACAAAGAGCTTGTACGTGATGCTTAGTGCTTCATGTCTATGTATCCTTCGAAGCAAGAAGGTTTAAAAATAAGCAAAAACCACACCTGCATTTATGCGGTGATTAAAATATCTTCTAAAAAAATCATATTCTCTGAAAACCAAAAGACCAAATACACATGGAGACACATGAGGGCGCTCTAACCAACAATAGCAAGTACAGTTGTGACACAATTTTAAAGTAAACTTTTCATTGAAGGTATGGCAATTTGGAATTGGATACTTTTAATGAGAAATTTTACTGGTACGCTTTGGCAAAGACCCTGGGATTCTGGTATCTATTCTTGGTCCTACACTTCCTTCGGCTCAATTCAGAATCTTGAGTATTTGTTTATGTGAAGTTAGAGATTCTTCGACTAGTACTGGATTATAGAAAAGTACACTGTCCTAGCCAAACAAAGATACAATTTTGAAAAGTAATTACATTCAACTAAATAGTGTTAATTAAAAATCACTTTTATTTTTCAATTACTGTGGCCATAAAATATGTTTGCAACACATTTACCAGTATGTGCCTTTAAAATGTTTTAGCTTAGTTTTCTAGGTAAAAGTCAGTCACCATTTATAAATTGTTTCTGAATCAAATATAACTTTAAATTTTTCTAGTAAAAAATGTTAACTCTTGTTTTTATCAAATTCTGTTTTAGACACAGGGACGACCCATCACAATAATCAAACTATTGCTTTTATTTTAACTGGAGAATCCTGATTAGAGGTGAGAAGGCACCTATAATTATCTTTTGCATCTAATACTTAAGAAAAAGAAACTTCTTAAAGAAAGAAACTTAAATTTGATTAACATTTAATATCTGTAATTCTATTTTAGCTCCAGTGACGAAATTCAAGAAAATCTGATATAAATGAATAACAGCTCAGCATGTTCTCAGCTGCAGCCATCCACGGTCTCTTCTGTGGCTTTACCAATCATTTATATTTTACTTTGTATCATTGGTCTCTTTGGCAATTCACTCTCTCAATGGGTATTTTTAACAAAAATAGGTAAGAAAACATCGACACATATCTACCTAACACATCTTGTGACTGCAAACCTCATTGTGTGCAGTAGTATGCCTTTCATGGGTCTCTATTTCTGGAAAGGTTTTAAATGGGATTATGGTCCTAAAGCATGTGGCTTGGTCAATTTTCTAGGAACTTTATCCATGCATGTAAGTATGTTTGTCAGTCTCTTAGTTTTAAGTTGGATTGCCATTAGCCGCTATGCTACTTTAATGAAAAAGGATTCTGTCCAAGAGATCACCTCGTGTTATGAGAAAATATTTTATGGCCATTTACTGAAAAGATTTCGTCAGCCCAATTTTGCTAGAAAACTGTGTTTTTACATATGGGGAGTTGTACTGGGCCTAATTTTTCCAGTTATCATATACTACTCAGTTGTAGAGGCTATGAAAGTAGAAGACAAGAACTGCTATACCAAGCAGATAGAAGTAGGAGGCAAGTTCTCTCAGATTGCAGGCCTCATTGGAACTACATTTATGGGGTTTTCATTTTTAATAGTATTAATATCATACTACTCTTTTGTTAGCCATCTGAGAAAAATTAGAACCTGTACATCCATTATGGAAAAAGATTTGACTTACCGTTCTGTGAGGAGGCATCTTTTGGTCATCCAGATTCTACTAATAGTGTGCTTTCTTCCATATAGCATTTTTAAACCAATTTTTTATGTTCTAAATCACACAGAAGACTGTGAGCAATTGAATTATTTAGTAGAAATAAAAAACATCCTCACCTGTCTTGCATCAGCCAGAAGTAGCACAGACCCCATTATATTTCTTCTTTTAGATAAAACATTCAAGAAGACACTATATAATCTCTTTATAAAATCCTATGGTTGATGTTGGAATGAAAAATATCACCAGAGAAATGTTCATAGGATTCTGTTAGACACTAAACTACCTGGTTAATAGATCATAGATGGGTTGATAAGACATACCAAAAAAAAAAAACCTCTTGGCTTATATATTCATAAAATTCATTTTACAATTTGACTTGTATTTAAAGTTGACATGGCTGCAGCTTTCAGAGACAAAATTCAGGCATATGAAATCATTATACATTTTCTGTTTGGCTCTATTGGATGCTTCTATTTAGAACACAGTATTTCAAAACTGAGATAAAGAAGCAAATGGTTTCTGACTTCTTTCAAAGTAATATTAAAATCTGAAGTTTGATTCTAATCTAGTAGTATTAGAACCTGTAATATACCTATGGTTAATGTTTCGTCATTAGAACAAGTAAAGGGAAAAGAGTAATATCTTCACTTAAGTCCTCCTATGTAAATGCATGAAAAATACATTGTAAAAGTCTAAGATTTTTAAAATCAATACATTAATTTGGTATTATTTGAGTCATTACTGGGGGAGGCAATAGTCACAGATTCCAATATTAAACAAATTTATATATGTACTTAAATATTTGGATTATGCTTGGTCAAAATAAAAGGCTAGTACACTGTCAAGTCAATCTTCATCACATTTTGTACATTTTCCTCTGTTAAATGAAAGGAATGTTACTTATGACAAGTAGTACCTGGCATGTAAATATGTTCTGAGTTTTGTAAAATAAGTGATAAGGTGGTAAAATAGTATCATACTTAAGAGAGTAGTCTGGAATTAAGAGTCCTAGATTTCAATTCTATTTCTCCCAGCTGGAGAATTTTCTGCAAGTTATTTACCCTCTTTAAGTGTTAAGTTCATGCTTCATAGAGTAAAAAAATACTATGTAACTCATAGGTATTTTTATTAAGATGGATAATCAAGTAGCTATCATAACTAAGAACCTGCTATATGCCATGCACTCTGCTTATATGTTTTCTACCTTTGATTGATTGTAACCATCACCCTAAAGTATGCCAAATTTACTGATGAAAAAAGTGAAGTACATAAAGTCACTTAAGTTTTCTTTAATATGGAAGTAAACATTGAAAGAAGAAGGATTTCTCAATGGTCATTTCTTCCATTTAATCCCAATAAGAGGGCTGATGATGACTGTATCCTATATTCTAAAGATCATAATTTAAAAATGTTTTAAAATGTGTGTTTTCCCAAAAAGATCATAAGCACCTATGGAGTTATGGTCTATTTTCTTTCCCTATTCCCATGGCACTTGGCATTTTTTGCTCAGGTAAGAACAAAACAATAGCTGAATAGAATCAATTAACTACCCCACTACTGTATCAGGGACTGCTTGAAGACTTATTCTCTAAATGGTAAATTTTTTCAGTGCTCAAAAAAAAAGTTTAAAGCAAATTCACATGTACTTCTAAACCTTTAATTTCATAGCATTTTTGGTAACTGAATTAAAATGTAGAACAGAATTCACTGTACAGATTCCCCCAAGAGCCTTATGTTTAAAATCACTAAGAATTTCAGTAACACATGCGTAGTTTTCATTTAAAAAGAATAGAAAAGTTCTTTCTATTTAAGATAAGGAGACACTCAACTTCTCTTTAAATTACTGAGAAGATAACTTCTTTAATCCCCTGTAGTGAACTATATATACTAAGCCTATCACTATATTCATCTTTATACTACAGGTGGTTTCCTGCATAGGTGATTTTAAGTAATGTTGAATTGTTTGTGTAATGGAAGATTTAATGTGGTAAATAATTTGTATGAGATAATTCTAATTTTATCCCCATTTTGAAGAATAAGTTTCAGAAAAATGTTCACAGTGGGGGCCACCCTAGTGGCCCAAGAGGTTGTCTCAGCACTATGAAGCAGTTAGCAGCCACTGAAGCCAAAGTTTGATCCCCAGCCAGGGAGCTGATTCACACAGAGGGCCTCTGCTTTTTCACCCCTTGCTCCCCTCACCAGTGTGTTTCAGTAGATCTGCCTGTTCTGCTCCCCATTCTGTCTGGTGGGTCCTCAACGCCTGCACCTCTGGTCTAAACCCCAGCTTTTGTATACGTGGTTGAAAATATTTTCAGTGTCTCTGAGTTATAGGGGGAGGGAAGGGGGTGGAGGGAAAAAGCTTAAGGGAAATACAAGATAAATTTATGATGATTTGATAATCCGATTAATAATGCTTAAAACCACATATTCAGGCTGAACATGTTAGATGTTCAAAAACCTTACTAGAAAATAACGCAGAAGATGTTTTCGCTTTAATGAGAATTTAAGTTTCTTTATATAAGAGGGACTCGGGAGATATGGTAAGAAATGTAAAGGAAATGTCAGCAACCAGATCAACAGAGGAAGAACTACTGCAAAATCCACAGTGCCGGGCCCTCCCTGGTGGCCCAGTGGGTTAAAGCACAGCACTGAAAAGCTAAAGCCAGGTCTGCATGAGTTTGATTCCTGCCTGCCCCGGAGGTGACCACATGGCGCAGGTGACCACATGGCGGGGCAGACCTCTCCCGACCCGCCCGCTGCTCCCCTCAGCAGTGTACTTTGTCAATCTGCCTGTTCTGCTCCCCACTCTTGTCTCTGGTGAAGCCTCTCACCACCCCTGAGCCTCTGGCCTGTACCCCAGTTCTGTATGTACAAATAAGTAAATCTTAAAAAAAAAAAATTTGTTTAAAAAAAAAAATCCACAGTGCCCGACAACTAGTGTGATGTGAATATCGTTTATGAGAAAAGTATGGTCCTAAATAGTTGAAAGGAGAACTGAGAGTAGAAGGGGACCAGAGACCAGCCAGGCGTGTTAATGGGCTAGCAAGGAAAACCATTTAAAGGAAGCACACTGAGAAATGCTTGGGTGGAACCTCTGGGCTGAGTGTGCGACTGGGGTTTCACACAATTCTGAGAATCAAAAACAGCCCCAAAGCTCCCCGGCACAGGCCTCACTGAGAAGGTAAACTGATTGTACATATAGCAGCTTGCATTCAGAGAAGTTGCCTAGCTTCAATTTCAGTCATTAAACTTGCATATCAGTTCGTTAGTCACAGAAAGGTCTGAGGATTGCGTGGTCTAAGGCCATGTGATGCATTGTGAGGTTGTCTCCAGGAACTGAAGAAAATTCTCTGTTAACAGCCAATGAAGGCAGGCAAGGAGCCAGCAGTTGCATTCACCTTGACAATTATACTATTTCTTCCTAAAATATTTTTAATAAAGGGGGAAGAAAAGGGAGTAAAACAGGCCTCCCTGGTGGCACAAGGGGTTAAAGTCTAAGCTATCAAACTATTGCCAGCCAGGGTGGGCTGAATTTAATCCCCAAACGGACTGACTCACATGGCACAACAGACCTCCTGTCTGCCCACTGCTCCCCTCAGCAGGGTTTTGCGGTAAACCTTCCTGTTCTGCCCACCTCCACTCTGTCTCTGGTGAATTTTTTCACCCCTTACACCTCTGATCTGCACCCTAGTTCTTGTGTGCATAAATGAATGACAAATCTTTTAAAAAAGTAAAATAGAATGGAAGTTTTCACAAGAAAATAGGAATAAAAAAGATAAGGAAAAAAAGATTTGCATGCAGGCTTTTAAGTGCTGAACATTTTTTTAAAAAGAGGATTATTCCTTTATTGTAAGATTTTTATCTTATTTTGCATAGAAAAACTAGGGTGTAGGCCAGAGGTGCAGGGGTGGGTGAGAGGATTCACCAGAGACAGTGGGGATCAGAAGAGCCAAATCCATTGTAATACTGCTAAGAGGAGCACCGGGCAAAGCAGCATGTGGGTCAAGGGCTGAAGATTTTTAAAAAACGATTTACTTATGCATACAGCAGCTGGGATACAGGTCAGAGGTGCTGGGGTGAGAGGATTCCCCAGAGACAGTGGGAAGCAGAGCAGGTGGATCTGCTGAAATACCCTGCTGAAGGGAGCAGTCGGAGAGGTCTATTGCCTCATGTGGGCCAACTCCCTAGCCCACTATCCAACCCTGGCAGTGGCAGTAGTGGTGATAGCTTGACAATATTGAGACATAACCCTCAGGCCACCAGGGAGGCTCAGCAAATACCTTTTTAATGCAAATCATGTGAAATCGCTTTTCCAAAGCAAGCATTTTCCACTATAGGTTATGTGGTAACATAGACTCAATTTTCATTTGATATAACCAAACAATCATTTTTAAACCTGATTGTGATGATTTCCACAAGAAATGCCTACCATGCAAAAAGTATTATTAATCAATGTAATGCTAGGAGTTTTGTGAAAACTAATGTTTTTGGATTATTTAACAAGATGGGGGAGGGGTCCGAGAGGGAAGGAGAGAGAAGGAAGGCTGGAAAATTAAAATATTTTTGGCTAGATAGAACAGATGATTAAATAATGTAAACTTTTCTAAAAGCCAAGAAACATTGCTTTGTTCTATTTTCTTTATTAAGTATAAGGGAAGAATGGTTTGTCAAAAAATTTAACTACAGACAAATGAAATCTATGTACAGACAAGTAATTGAGTATATAATATGTAAATATGAAGAGAACCTAATAGATTGCTTTATTGAAAGTGAACATATTATGTGACACTTTAAATTATTAGCCAAGTGAGATGTATTGTTAATGAAGTCTTACAATGACCACAACGTTGGCAACTCAGATAACAAGATCCTGAATACTACTAATTAGTTACCTAAGTTAAATGACGTACGTTCACAAATCCTGTTGACAGAACCTTCAAAATGATGTAGAATCTCTTCTTTTTTAGCACCTCCATTGCTACCATCCTGGTCTGAGTCAGTCAGGGCAAGCTCCTGTTTCTTTTTCTTTCTAAAGGTTTATTTTTTTTTGCCTACATGAACTGGGGTACAGGCAAGAAATATGGGGGCTGAACGGATTTACCAGCAACAGAGTGGGTAGCAGAGGGTGAAATAAGAGAGGTCTGCTGCACTCTGTGGGTCACCTCCCTGTGCTTTGCCTCTGTGGCCAGGGATCTAACTCGATCTGCACTTTAACCCATTACACAACCACGGAGAGTCCAAGTTTCCCTTTCTGTTTCCACCTTTGAGCCCTACTCAACAGAGCAACATAATTGTGATGCTATGGAATGTCAAGTCATTGTCTTGGTTCAAAACCCTCATTTCTTCCAAGTAAAAGTCAAAAAGTCCTCTATTCTCCCTTCCCCTTCTAGCCTCACATACTGTCCACACCCCCTTTGCTCATTTCACCTCAGTCACCACCCTGGTCACCCTGCAATTCCTTGAACAGGTCAGTTACACTCTTGCCTTAGTGCCTTTGAAATGGCTGTTCCTTTACCCAGAATGCCCTTCTTTTGGATATCAACCTGTATGTGTACACATGCTCTCTCTCCCTTTTCCATCGTCTTCTCAATGCAGCCTGGTTTGATGACGGAATTTAAAAAAACTATATTTTAAACATGTGTGTCACCTCCCTGGCAGGGGCTCAAATTCATGCTGCAGCACCCCTTCTCTAGTATCCCTGTCCCTCTAGCTGCTTTATTTTTTCCTATGGTTCTTTTCACCTTCTAACCTAGTATATAGTTGACACGTTCACCCTCAATGGCTACTGTCTGTCTCCTAGAACTGCAACATCAGTTCTAGAAGGGCAGTGATTTTGTTTGCTCATTGATATTGCTGTGGTTCCCAGAACAGTGCCTGACACATAGTAGGAACTCAGTTTTGGATGAATGGCTTAAGAAAAATAGACCCAAATTCAAAATTACCAATTAGTTAAGCATGCATATTCCATTTACCCATGCAATATATATAGATTTTTGGCACTGAATTACAGAAATTATCAATATTAATGTGTTTCCCATGTCGAGGTCACTTGCCAACTGAACAATGGTAACTTTTCTGGTGGTTTCCTGACTAATCTGCAGTTTGAAAATAACCTGTCTCTTTCTTCAGCATGTTCCATGGTGCTTCATCAAAATTATTTGGCATGTGCCTTAGAAGTAATAAATTGAATAGAACACAGTACAAAATTAATTTTCAGATTTTGTACACACTGTTCCTTCTGTTTGAAATGTCTTCTTGTCTCCATGAAACTACTCCATGACTCAAGATCAGGCTCCAGTATGACCTCCATGGAGTTTCTCTCACTCTTTCTTTAAATGGTTATTTCCCACTCTCTACCTTGGATACTAGTTATTTGTGTTTTCTGTAAAAATGGCCACAAACAAGTTCTCCCATCTTTGTGCACATATGCTGTTCTTCCAATCAAAACGTGGACTCTATTTTTCCTCTTCTTGAATCCAGGCTGATGTGGCATTTTGACCAACAGAATTCAGGGGACATGACACAGTGCCAGTTAGGGCCGGCCTAGGTTTCAAAAGACCTGATGAATTTCCACGTTGGCTTGTTTGAAGCCCTGAGATACCATCCCACTGCAGTGCAGGCCATGTGTAGGGAGAGTGAACGGTCTTGAGTAAGAGACTAGGAGGAGGACAGTCAACTCCCAGATGTTTTTGTCATCTGAGCTGAGATGCTAGAAGAGTGAGGGAAACCTTCGTAGACACTAGCCAGGCTGTCTCAGCCAACAGGCTGTGAAATAGATAAGACTCGTGAAGTCCTCAGCAATTTCTGGTCAAACCGAAGAATTATGAGCAAATAAATGGTGGTTATTCGCAATTACTGAATTTTGGTGTGTTGATCCACAGCAATGACACACTACCCCATTTACCTACTGAGGTTCCATGAGATCTTTAGGGCTCCAAGCACAATATTCTGCCTGAAATAGGCACTCAAATATTTTCTGAATAAATCAATCAGAAGATAACTGAGAAAGTAAATCAAATATAACTACTTTGGGATTTTTTTTCATTTGGATTTTCATATCAAATACCCTGGCTAATCCAGAGCTGACTATATTACTCAGAGTATTACAACAGAGTATGTTGTCAATCATCACTTATAATTATATCATGTTGATATAATTATTTTTCAAGAATAGAATTCAAAATAAAATTGCCTCTTGGGTAAAAAGTGTTTTTTAGTACAGTGCTATTACATGAACTAAACATCTGTTTTTCCACATTTTAAGTTCTCAAACTGTCAGCATTATATATTTTACAATATATAAAAGGAAATACATTTTACTCTGAATATATGTACTTTTTGATTTTAATTAAATGCAAAAGAATAATGCTGTATACCATTATCTCTGACCAATTCCCCTTAATAATCCCATACTTCTTATTCTCTTTGATTGTACAAGTAAAGAATACTGTTTGGTAAAAGTGCTATGTATCCACTGATTAGTTGAGTGTTGATAATAACCATCTTTTTTTCCTATCACATTTAAAAAGAACAAATAAGTTATTTTACAATGAATTCTAATTATATGTACATTTTGTACATTTCTTTTATGATTTGCAGTTACTAGTATTAACATTCTACTAGATTGTTTCAAACTGCTCATGCATTCCCTCAGGTTTTAGTCACAAGTATTTCGGTTAAAATTTTCCAAACATTAGAGGAAAATTAGCTAAACTTTACTTAATTTTCTTAAACTTTAAAATACATGTAAGAGCCTGTTTTTTTCAATAACATGTCTTGAGGAAACGAGAGTACAACGTCTGTGGATGTGGTGGGCTTTTAGTGATTTGAGGCCTTGGAAGGGGCTGAGAGTCTCAAAATGAGGCCCTACTGTCTTCATGCCTCCGTGTTTTGCTTGACATTGTTAGGAGCCAGGGCTTGATAGTTCTCATGGACTTGAAAATGGGATCAAAGAAAAAGAAAGACTGACTAACGGCTTCCTAAGGGTACAAACCATTAAACTTACAACATTGACAGTTATGATTTCAGAGTATGTTTAAAAACCACCTGTAAGGAACACAAAATGGAGACTGTTCTACCTGCAAGATTATGAAAATATAAATGCATGATGAAATTTTACAGTACAAACTAAATTCTAATTCCTCTTCATGAACATGACTCTTCAAATATAAAGCAGCTAAATAAAATTTTACTTGTAAGTAAAATTAACTGAGATGTTCTCTAATAGTAAAGAAAAATTTGATTATTGTCAGTTATGTCAGTTTTTCTTCACAAACATTATAGTGATAAAAATGACTTACCTTCACATCCCTGTGAATTATGTTATTATCATGACAATAGCGTAGAGCTTCCAGTATCTGTCTCATGTAATGACTGTAGAAAAACAAAAAAACAAAAATCTAAAACTGTAAAAAATTTTATATTTAAAACTTAGTATATAGTGTCTCTTGTGTGTAACACCCACTTTTATATTCACTGCCCATTTGAGTAGATAAGATTAATGGAATGTGTAGCTCAGTAATGAAAAATTTGGCAGACTCCTAGGTTCATGAGATTCATGAAGAAACAATGTGTTTTATATTTTCTAAGATATCTAAAAGAATTTCAGTTCATAATCAAATAGCTCCATAAATTAAAAAGTCAAGCTTAAAGCACGAAAAAGCCTACCAATTCTCCAACATTCAGTTAATTCTATTTAGTTACACTGGATTGCTCGTATAGCAAGGATTCCAACTAACAGGGTGGAGTCTTTTATCTGCCAGCAGAGGCTGGCACTTTGCCTTATTTCCATTTGCTTATAAGGATAAGCAAAGAGCAGAACTGCCTTATTGCCTAAAATTTCTTTTTGTAGCATAGTCTAGCTTAGTTGCATGAGCAAAGCAGAGTTACTCCATAATTTCTCATGAGGCTAGCAGGTGTCAGCTGAGGGTACCTGCCCAGTTCAGGTGAAGAACAAAGAAGAGTTAGTGCTGTAAAGAACAGACCTCAAAACGTTATAACAGAGTGAACTAGCAACAGGGAAAGACGAAAGTGGTTTATTCTGTATTACTTCAGAGCTTGTCTTGACTTCGCTTGCTTACTTCTTCTGTAATTCTACTATTGCTCTTTTTCATCTCTTTCTCTGCATTTTACATTTTGTTTTTTCTTATTATCCCTCTTCCTTTCTCATTTCCCCCTTTTTTTGCTCCAATATAAAGCATCATTTGTGTCTTGTGCATTGAATTATTTTATCTTTCCAGACTTATATCCCTCACACTTCAAATGAAAACTAAATAATTTACTAGTACTTAAAAATGACCTGGTGCATGTGACTCAAGAGAGAAAAAAAAAAACCCATTTCTGCTTTACAATTAAGACATTTCCGTGGTGTGGTATCATACATATGAAAAGGCGTGAAGTTGTGTTCCTAAACCTATAGAGTGTTGTAAACCAATGTTACCTCAAAAACAGCAACAAAAAATTAATTACAAAATTAAAATGACCCATTAATTAAAAAACTAAAAACTAAAAAAAGACATTTCCATTAAATTTCCTCTTTCATTGGCTATTATCTAATCATACTTACATAAATGTCCCTCTTATTACCATATGTGTTATTTTGTGTCTGCTAGTTAACAGAAAGCTCCATTTCTTAAATGAAAGGTAGGGAAAAACAAACCAACCAAGCCAGACTTTGTTTCTTTCTGTGTTATTACTGTCTCCTCATAATTGGTCTCTGAAGCAGAGAGCTGGGCTCATGCAGTCCCTAGCTCTGATGTTAAACTTCTCTTTGCAAATACACACACAGGGTGTGTAGTCATGTACATTGCCGGGGCCAGTTTCCCTGTAATTAAATTTCTGTTACCGCTAGGGATTTTTTTTTTTTAAACTTGGTGTTATGGTCCTTTCCTGGTTAAAATCAGACTTGGGAGAACAATGACCCCCGAAATGGCAGAGACAACAAATGTGAAAGTGTTTTGTAAACTCTCAGTCATGATATAAACATGCTTAGCCAAGGTTAAACCATTATTATTATTATTATTATTATTACTAAATTTAATCAAGCATTTAAGAGTTCACATTTAAGAGATGTGAACATGAAAATAGTGAGAAGGTTTAAACCAGGTAATGAGGACAGAGCTTGTATTTAGAATATGGACTATACTAGATATGTAGTACTAAGATAAATACAGAAATTTTTATCCTGCAGAAAATTCCAATCCAAAAATTTTCATTAGAAGAAAAAGAACCTCAGTGAATGAACATCAAAATTTGAATGTCAGAGTATTCACTCATTTGGTTCAATACACATACATATCAGAGTCTCTTGGGTGTGTATGGGGAGGGCAGAATTTTCTTCTACACTCTCAGCCATAACCTTGGGAAGCTATGCATATGAACATTGCTCAAGTACAATAAGGAGAAAACCAGAATCTACCCACATGTTTTAGAGAGTTGATGACTAAACTTTAATCAAAAAGTTATTTTTCTGAGTATCACTGTGGCATATGCTTTCAGAGGAACTTAGCAAAATATGTTTGTCTCCATCTTCCTCTTTCCTCCCTGTGGAAGGAAAGAGCTGGTTGGAAATCCACTCACTTCTTTTGGAAGGAGGCATTTTGGAGGTGGCGGAAGAAAAGAAGGGTGATGACTCAGTCTAGTTTCTTGTCAACTTTGGGTAAGCAGACTAGAGAGCTCTTTGCTAGGCAGAAGAGAATTTGTTTCTGAAATGCCCTTAGTGGAATGCCTCTGGCTAAAGATTACATATGATAAAATGAACCCAGGATCTTTGAGACACGGATGGCTTACTGAAGTGGGTATAAAATGGAGCTGTTTCAATTGAAAAGCTCCCCTCTTCATGAGGAATTTTACAGACCTCAAGAGACTTCATCTATTCTGGGTCAGTGGGGCATTTCTGATGCCATAAGAATTGACATCAGGAGCTATTCTTGGTGGTCCAGAACTTTTTCTGCTTCAGCTGAGAATTTTGGTTGCTATATGCCTTAAAATTATTTAATAATAATTATTAAAACTTTTAGTAGGCTTGGTACTAGATAAGAGGGTATTTCTGATTTGTGAGTTTGATTTGATAATCTGAATGCTGTATGTTAGCTCACTCCACAACTGATCACCTCTGAAAAAACAGAGGTAATACTAATTGGGCTGTAGTAAGGCATGAACACAGTTTATTTTATGCCATGCTTGCTGGTTCTCTTGAAGCTCAGCCAGATGGAAAAAAAACTATCAATTTGATTACCTGATATTTCAGAGTTTTCTTGCACTAGAATACTAATACAAGCTGAATTTCTTAACAATGTATCACAGAATCAGAGAAGAAATGTTAGAAGTCATCAGAATTTATGTCTTGTGAATGCTCACTGATTCTTTGCAACAGGAAACACACCCAATAACACTTGTCGCCCCCTACTTTTGTCATTTTTAGGAAGAGTCTGACAAACTGTGCCAAGCCTCTCTTTTTACAGTGTCATTACTGGTCCAAGTGTTACTCTCTTTTCTGGTCCACTCTAAATAGTTTCTCATAAAAGCACCATCTGAAGACCATATGTAAATGGATTTTCAAGTCCATAAACTTTCAACTTGATGCAAATCTACCTTTTCTACAAATGTCAAGACTGTGAGAGATGCCAAGTCATTTTGCTGCGACATCACCTCTGTACATCCTGACAAGCAGCTTTGTGGTCATGCTCGGGACAGGCTCAAAGTTAAGGAAAGGTGACACTGATGACTGGGGAACACAGTAAAAATGGCATGGATTTGACAGATGCCAGGTTATTGTGGTTCAAAACGGGAAAAAAGTCATCTTCCTCAACAGAGCTTAATCATTATATAAATAATTAACATTTCAGAATTTTTACTTTTCCTTATTTGATGCTGCTGTTGAAAGACATCAACATGGGAAATTATAAAAAGGCAAAATGCCTCAAATTCTTGAAGAAATAAATATAAAACAATGTCATGCAAGTGTGTGGCAATTTCATTTAGTTTGATAATGTGGCTTACCACTATGCCTTAAGAAAAATCAGGTTAGCATTGACTATTTTTGGTATTAAAGAATGCTTCTTAATTTTTAAACACAACAAAGAATAAAAACTTAAAATTGTAATAAGCAGTCAAAACAGAAACTGGATTAAACAACCTCCAAGGGGTGGGGAGCACCTCTAAGAATATGCTTCAGAGAGCTTACACAAAGGAAAAGAAGGTACCTAGCCTGCTTTTCATCAGTGCTACCATGAATACATCAAGAGTTTAAAAATACCATTAATATCCATGGACTTTTATTTGCTGCTTCTCTCTAGTCCCTGTAGTAGAGAAAGGCAGCCACCTCCAGTGAGCATACTCTTTATTTTGTGTGATGGGTACGGCTGCTCCCTTGCTCCTCAGCCAGGGGAGGCAGGAAAATGAAGTTGAAGAAAATCAAGTCCCTCTAAGTTCAAAGTTGTAGTTGGTGGTCTCTAAGCAGTTTCCAGTTCTATTCATTTATGATGCTATTGATATAATTGCTAAAGGAATGCTAAGAGGAAGTTATAGTCATTTCATGATAACTTTTCTTACATGGTACAAAATTTTAGTTAATCCAAAATAGGATTGTGGGTTGGAACCCTTCAACATACTGCAGTTGGTGACTGAGATGTTGTAGCCCGTGGATTAAAAAGGCGACCCATGGGAATATGTACTTATGATATGACTGAATGTCACTGCTGTACATATAAACAAGTGGCCTGCTGCATGGCTCCAGAGTTTTCATATTTACTTCTTACTTTAAGCTGCTAGTTTTTAGAACTCCTCCACCTAGAATAATGGCCACTATTTGATTGGGAGATCACACACTGGCCTGAAGCAAATATATTCCGCAGAAAAACTGCTTTTATTTCTGTTCCTTCTATTGTTCTATATCTTTCCTCAGAATAACTGGTCACACCGCAATATGCTATCACTGAAAGGCAAACTGAAGACCTAATGAGGCACATCTGCCAAAAACTGAAAACCAAAAACAAACAAACCCCTCAAATTTTAATTCCATATGGTCCCAGAGCTACAAAATCTCTTTGCATAAGTCAGCAGAGATGGGAAAAACAGCAGTACTGTTGTTAAACAGAGAACCCATATTCATATATAAATCCATTGCTCAGTATTCTGCATTTCCAGTCACTGTCTGGCTCAGGGAATGCTCACTACAGCCTGTGGTTCCTATGAAGGAGAGCAGCAGCATGCTCATCAAGAGCAGGCCACCTCTGTGATTTCCTGTCATCTCCTTATTTTATTTCCACTTTGACCTGTGGGAATTAGATATACATACCTGGCTACAGCTTCACTGTATACAAAACCAGCGTCAGCTCTTTTTACAATTTCAAAGCACAGATCTGCTCCATCCATACTGTAGAGAGATGTGAAAAAGAATATGAGAAAATTTCAGGAAGAAAATGCACAAAATGATGTAAAAATAAACACACACACATATATATATATACACACACACATACATACATATATAAAGAAAATTTCAGGAAGAAAACTTGTAAGTGACTACATTGCAAGTAAGTTGATTTACAGCTATTTATGGTAATAAATTATCTTCCTTTCAATAAAAAAAAGACATGAATTATAAAGGACATTCTGTCTATTTTAGCACTGAAAATCTGTAGGGAAAGAAACAAGAAAATGGTAGCATCAAATAACATAAGGCATAGAAAATTTTCTTTAGGTTATCACAAGAAATCTCAGAAAAGAGCAATTCCTGGAATTGTGGGTATATTTTTAAGTGAAATTCCAAAATTATCTACATTTAGTCATGCAATGTAATATAACAAGAATTCTAAAACATTTAGCTATAATTATCACCCCTAAATGAGATTCAAGCTATATGTGGAAGGAGAAAAACAAGTGGCTCATCTATAATTCATTTTTGTTTATATTTCCATTACCAAAGTTAATTCCTAACAAACATTCCAACACATTGACATGTAGGTGATAAGTAGCACTCTCTTGTCCCAAAGCTCATACTGATTCTTTATTTCTCAGCTAGATCAGTAAAGCTTCTAATTATCTGTCTATTCTATTCCAGCATACATTGCTATTTAGACAACTAACATAAGTACCACTCCCTGAACGTACCATTTTCTTTCTCTCACTCTGTTTTGTTCTATTCTAAACCCAACTTTCCCAGGAAGCCCCCCCCCCAATGACTACTGACTGCCACAATAAGACCTTTTGCTTAAATCCTGTAACAATCTTATATAGCTCATATCATACTGTGGAGCTTATATATACATAAACATATGTTTATATATGTAAACATATATACACACATGCATATACCTATCTAGCTACACATGTAACTTTTACTAGATCATTACATATATTAATAAATCTACTTAAATAATAATAGCTAACATTTTCATAAAGCTTTAAGGCTTATAAAATGTTTCCAAAACCAGTACTTCATTCATTCATACATTATTCAATAGCTTAAGCTCTAATATAGCTGCTGCAGGTAACATTCTGAGGAAATAGAAGGATCTAGAAGGAAAACAGAAACAAATAACATTCTATTCATCAAATATCAAGAAAAATACTCCTTTTTAGAACTTCCTTCATTTTTACTATCACTCTGTGAGGTCAGGATCATTCTATTCTTAAATAACTTGCCAGAATATATAAGTATATGACAGGGACAGGATTCAAAGGCTTATCGATTTCAGCGTTCTTCCCATCCACTACAGCTACACACATCTTCAAGTCCAGTTCAATACACAAGTACAAACACACACAATAATTTTCAGGTTTACTCTTTTCCTCTGATGTGTCTATTCTAGTACCTATTTTTATTTTTTAACCATACCATTTTTAATACTGTAATAGTATACTGTGATATTTGGCAAAAGAAATGTGATCTCATTATTACTCTTCAACTGCATTTCCTTATGAATTCCCCCCCCACCCCGAACGTCAAAATATTTTTGTCACTCTGAAACATTTATATTTTAATTGTAGAGTTACTATATTTATACATTAATTTCTTGAAATTAACATTTTCCTAATATGCTCATCCTAAAGACCATAATATGTTTGTTTGGTTTTACATCTCTAAGTTGTAGTTTTAAGGTTTTTTAAATTTTGGTTCCAAATACTGGTTATTGGATTCCCCCCTAAGCATTATATATTTTTAGTTGCTACTACAAATGGGATTGTTTAGCCTTTACACATATTTTTGATATCACAGCTCAAAACCAGCAGTACCAAACAAAGTCATCTATGCAAGTTTTTTAATATGTGGGCATGTTCATTTAGAGGTTGCTCTGGAAGAAAGTCAAAAGTATGAAAACAATTATTATTAAAGCTATTTGATAAGTTTTTGTAACACTGATTAGTATTAAATGAAAACAGCATACTAATTTTAAGTTTCATGAGCTACAGAAACAAAACTAAAAACTTTATGTAAATTTTATTCATCACAGAGATTAAAAATGTACATATTTATAGAGCATACATATAATAACCTTGAAAAAATCTGATGTTTCAAGTCTTTGATAAACTTTATTTGATAACATAATTACGTTAGAAACAATCATAAGGCTTAAAAAATATTTTTCTCTTTGGCTTCCCATGATAAGGCATTTCTGGGACTGCCAAGAACATTTAAAAAGAAATCTGAATTTCTCCAGTTGGCTCTATTCCAAGGAAGTGAAATGAGAGGGAGCTGGAGATGAAAGCGTGCCTTGGAAGTCCAAGTGGAATCCTTCCATACTATATGCTGAGAAAAACTATGGGAGGTTTACTCTGAATTGTGAAAAGTGGTGGGATTATAACTGGGTGGTCCCCAGGAAAAGGGGAGGTTCCAGGTTCCCTGCCCCATCCAAAAGGAGGGTGGAGCTGAGCAGGGAGGAGAAGAATCTGGAGAGGAGACTGAGGAGGAAGGAAGCAGGATGGACAGCCAGAAAGAGCCCTGAGGGCTGCACAAGAGGCTCCTGTCTCTTGGTCCTGGGATGGTTGAAACAGATTGTGGGTGAGAGACCAGTGGGGAGTTCACTATGGCAGCGTCTATCTTGATTTTGATTTTGCTTTTTTCCTCCCAGACTTGTCTGGCTGTTTCTGACCCTTTTCTATGTGTCCCCACCAGAAGGTGCTTTAGACATGTGGTGGGTTTTCAGGCCTTGCTTTGGGCCAGTCCCTTTAGGTGGACTACCCACGAAGGGAAGGGTAACTTTGGGTGTTTGACACAGAAACTCTATTCTTTGTCTTGTCTGTATTGCACACTGATTGTATTAAAGTTCCTTTCCATTAAAGGTCTTTTATGCGTTGTTTTGATGTGGCGGATGGCAGAACTTGTTTAGAGTGGGCAGTTTTGTGGGTTCAGAGGTGCCCCTTTCTCCCTGCCCTATAACAGGATTACATACAATCTTAGCTGTCCCTTCCTGTGTGTATCTGATTCAAAAAATTCTACAGTGAACATAATTACTTATATAATAAAACAATTATCAAAAAACAAATGTACCAAACAAAATATATTAAGAGGCACAAGGTTGACTATTTGTCGAACGGATAAGAATATGCTACTCTACAATAAGCTACTTTGACGTAGGATTACTTTGAACTGAAGGCAACTGAAAAATAGCGACACAGGAACAATTTCTTGTTCTTCCCTATCCTGCCTAAAAACAGGTATAAATTTCCTTTTGTAAAGGTAGTCTCTCCAGTACTAGAAAGAGAATTATTATTATTGTTGTTAATAATATAATAGCTTATTTTTACACTATTTTGTGCCTTTTTCTATCTCAGTTGTAATCCCTGTGGGCTTCCCACCCATGTGCCATCATCATAGTAAAAGAGAATTATTTTTAATCTGGGTAACAAACCTTGGGAAGCAACCCCTGATTACATACATTTCCTGGTCTCTTTCCCACAACTTATTTTTCAAGCTCTACTCCCACCATATGATATGAAATAAACCTCTGCTGTTAATCTGTCTTTTGTCAATTTAATTTGCAGGTGTCTGCCAGTGATGGTGGGCCCTCTGTAAAAGCATAAAGAGAGGGCTTAAAGCAGACTAGTGCCTGATTATATGAAGAGGTGCTTCTCAAACAACTGGTGAAAGACCAGACACCCCCCACCCCAATATATTATGGATCAATACTTTTCTTTTTATTGTGTAACAGTCTACAACACTGTATAGGTTTCAGGTATATAGCTTCTCCCTCAGCAACAGTATATTTTACATTGTTGGGAGAAAAGAACAGAAAACTGAATGGAGACATCACATAGTTAAAACCTGACTCACACAAGGAGGTGAAGGAGAAGGGATTAACATGACCATTAACCCAGCTATAGATATCAAGTCCCTTAGTGCCTTAGCATAAGGCATACAACCTCAACAGGTATCAGACTGCTGTAGAGAGTGTTAGAAGCACATACCTGAGGGTAAAGATACAGAGACTGGACCCATTGGCCTATTGTGAAATCTCTGGTCCCTTTAGGATTCCACACAGTTATCCAAAATCAGCAGCAAACAGGTCACCCACAAAGGAGTGAGCCCCTCCCAAAGAGCAAAGGACTATATCAGGGCAGTCTCTGCGCTGGCTCAGGGAAGCAGTCTTCTGACCACCTGTGACAAAGCAGGTGCTTCTTTCCCCCCACTCTCTCCCTCCTGCCTGCCCATGACCTGTACATGCGGGGGTTTCTCTGCACTGACCTCCCTCAGCAGAGAGCTCTCCTCAATGCCGCCTGCTTGCGACCTAGCAGGCCTCTTTCTGCAAACCTGTCCCTTTTGGGGCAGCTCTTTCTGCCAGCTAGTGTCTATGCCAGTGTCCCTCCTTCTCTGTCCCTTTTCCAATAAACCTGTTCTTTAAATATAACTGCTGCCTGTCTCATGGAGAAACGTGTCTGGGAAACTCACTGGGTGCCGCTGAAAGGGGAGCCCCACACTCCAAACTCACCTCCAAAAACTACATCAACTTTACACCCAGCACTTAATGTCCAATCACCATCCACCACCTAACTCTTCACTACTCCCTACTTGCTCTGATACCAGCTCTTTTTATTGTCAGAATAAACACATTTGTTTCTTGAACCAGCGCTTTTCAAAATCAAGTGCTATTATCAAATTGCAAAAACAGTTTCTAAATGTTTATTTTCAATTTCTGTATTTATTATGTACTGGTAACAGTAGGGAAGTAGGAACCATTCTTTGAGGGACAATGGAAAGGACAGACCAAATCTAGAGTTCTCTTACCAGCATTTCCTCTGAAGAGGACAACTACAAAAATTGTGTGAAGTTATGTATTATTTTAAAACTTTAAAGAGTTAACAGTGTGGGCCCTCCCTGCTGGCTCAGGTTAAAGCGCTGCACTAAGAAGCCACTTCCACTTGAGTTCGACCCAG